TACAGCGTTGGTTTCTGGATTCGAGAGACTGGTCAAGCCATTGATCGCCTCGGCTCTCGCCTCCAGGGCGGTTACTACTTCCAAGAACAGCGTTCGTCCCTTCCTCTTTTCATTTTCTTCATTGCCATGCCCTAATCTCTGCAATATTATTAGAATCACATTGCAATCTATGATCATTTTTCATGATTCCTGAGTTATATTATTATTTTCCACTCTAAATTGTACAGTCCTTAGATTGGATGCGGCAGTAAGCAAAGTGATTATTGTGCTATCTTTTCCACTCTTCCTTGTTGTGTTCAGTGTCTAGGCATCGAACTTTGATGAACATATTTGATAAGGCTCCTGTTGTTGATAAGGATGTGTTTGTTGCGCCGAGTGCCTCCGTCATTGGAGACGTTCAAGTTGGAAGAGGATCCTCCATTTGGTATGGATGTGTCTTGAGAGGTAAGGTACCTATCTCACTGGACCAATTACGTGTAGACAACATTTGAATGATTTTATGCGTTTTCGTGAAATAATTATGTTTGAACTTCATTTTATGAATAGGTGATGTTAACAGCATTAGAGTTGGAAGCGGAACTAACATACAGGACAACTCTCTGGTGCATGTTGCAAAGTCAAATTTAAGTGGGAAGGTGTTGCCTACACTTATTGGGGATAATGTTACTGTGGGTGAGTAACATTTTTTACATGATCAAGAATGGTTCTATGTTCTACACTCGATGGGAATTTATCCCAAGTTTTTCACTGAGCAGGTCATAGTGCTGTCATACATGGTTGTACTGTTGAGGACGAGGCTTTTGTTGGTATGGGTGCAATACTACTTGATGGTGTTGTTGTTGAGAAAAATGCCATGGTTGCTGCTGGAGCCCTTGTCAGACAGAATACAAGGATTCCTTCTGGCGAGGTATGTCTCTGGGTGATTCTTTTATAGCTACAACCCTTAAATTTGTGCATTAGGATCTCGCTCATGTGCTCATGTTAGTCTAAACTGTTTTTGAAAATTCCATTATTGAGTTATACTGTATCGCCAGTGTTGGACATGGAGGATCAATTATAATTGTGTTTATTTTATTTATCTTTCTATTAGTTTTTGATGGAATTTTTAGGGATTTTGTATAGTTTTTAGATAGTTCTAGGATACTTATTTGTGGCATTAAAATTGTTTTATATTATATGCATTTGGAATCAAGTTTAATTTTTATGTATTGTTAGTGTAGAACATTTTGCACTATCGAGTATCAATCAATTAGAAATCATTATTGGTATATTTTTAAAGGTGGTTATTGTTAAAATTTAGCAAACTATACATGACATTTTGTGATTGAATAACAGTGTAAAAATTCTTTCTGTTGTTAGTGCATTCAGTATATTCTTAGGAATAGTGTTTAATTTCTATGCACTAGTAGACTAGTAGTTTATAAAGAATTTTTTTGTTAGTTTTTTATTGTTCCCTTTTAAATTTATCCAACAGCCTTATAATATATAGGTATCTAAAAGATTTTTGAAACATAAAGCCCTTATTCTTTTCTTCTAACTTTGATCTCATGTATTCTTCCTCAAAGCTGTTGTCTTGCTATCTATGTGTCACCACCACTAATGCGAACCCAAGAGATATTCGACCCCGGATCCACCCGAGATCTTCAAAACAGATTTGGTGATAAAAAAAATATACACGACTCATTGCTTAACAAAAATGTTGGTATAGATCAAACTAAAACCCATCACTCTTATCAAATTAAGAAACATGGTATAAATATAAGAGTGTTAGTTTCAAATTTTATGAAATTATTCCCAGGAATGTAAGTTTGGGAATGTAACATTTCCTTGATTGGTACAAGTTATAAATTTTTCACCCGAGGCATTATTGATTAAAGAATTTATATTACATATATTTTCTCCTCTTTCTATTCCCGTGTGAAGAGGCAGGAATAGATAGTGACCTGTTGCTTAAGTAACGGAAGAGCCTCGGTATGTCTCAGTATTTCTATCGCCAGATTCTATATCACTTGATTTACATTTTCACATTATGAATTTTATACACATGTACAATCATTAATATTACAAGCTAAGTAAATGAGGAAATTAAGAGAATAAGAGTAAATTCTTATAAATTTTGAATAAAATCCTAATCAAATCTGCAAATAATAACTTCTAAATCTGGAACAGATCCTAATCAGATGTGAAAATTATATGCAAAATGCTTTATCACTTGAATCACGTTTTGGAGTTATCTTCACAAAGCTCTGGTACAAGTCCATTCAATGCCGTTTTTATTTTCTTATCTTGTGGCCTTGTAATTCACCAATCAACGAAGTTTGTGAATCCTTTGTAGTACCCTGTATCGTGTCAACTACCTTTGTGACTATGGTGCTTATGACAACAACAAATTAACAGAAAACCAATTTATTTTATGGGATATAATTTTGGTTCTAAACTCTCCCTTCTGAACTAGACCCTAATCTAGAATCCTAGATCACTTGTCCTAACTGTTACGTATTACTAATTACAAATGTCATGTTTATTATATTTCTTCTTGAATTGCATGAACTTATATATCCGCTTCTGAGTTTAATCACAAGGTTCACACTAAAATTTTTCTTTCTGGGAGAAAAGAAAAATATAATTCTAATTTAACATCCTTGAAGGATTGTGTTTATAACTTGCATCTGAAAATTGTGTTATTGTCAATTACATTGAAAGACTTTGAATGCTCTTAGGTGTGGAATTTAGAACGATGCTGGCGCAAATGCAAAAACTGAAGCTATCTTAGATAGTGCTCAAGCTTATTGTTTATTAATTTTTATCACGGGATTGAAAACACTCCTCAATTTTTTATCAGTTTTTTCCTGGGCTAGTTATTTTTATTTCGAATGTTGGTTAGGCTGCTTTTTATTGAATGCTTGCTATATGTGTCATTCATAATCTGTAAGCACAAATTTACATATTTTGCAGGTTTGGGCAGGCAACCCCGCAAAGTTCCTGAGAAAGCTCACTAGTGAAGAGATAGCTTTCATCTCTCAGTCAGCTACCAACTATACTAACCTTGCACAGGTACATGCAGCTGAAAACTCGAAGTCCTATGAAGAAATTGAGTTTGAGAAGGTTTTGCGTAAGAAGTTTGCACGTAAAGATGAGGAGTATGACTCTATGCTGGGTGTTGTTCGTGAGATCCCACCAGAGCTTATTCTTCCTGATAATGTCTTACCTGATAAAGCAGAAAAAGCTCTTAAAAAGTGAGGTATTTAAAAGCAGTGTCTTCAATTCCAATCTTGAAATGACATCAAAGGACTTTCTTGTTTTTGGCAAATTCGTGGAAGAGGGTTTACTTTCATTCCCAATAATACCAGACATTTTCTGGGCTAGAATTGTGGCTCCTTACGATCCAGGAGGCAATTGTTCCATAATATTTTGAACTCTGTTCTCTAATTTGGAAAAGCAAGTTCCCTGTAGGATTATATGTATGCTGATGTTTAGTGTTTGATGTATTCAATGCAAGTGACTTCACATTTTTCCCCTTGATCTTTATGGTCAAGACATTATTGTTCGTCAACTTGGTTCATAAGTTCTCGTTGACATCATTATTAATGAGGACACTGATGCCTCTGTTTTTGTCTTCAGCATGGATGGATGCATCTTCTATTGCACTATCTGCTATTTTATAGCCAATCGAAAAATTACAATTGTTATAATGATTTTTTCATACAGGGTGAAAGGTTTCAATAGTTCAGTTCACAGAAAGAATAGAAGTGGGGTGTGTAAAAAGGAAACTTATTAACCCTTTCAGTGCAATTAGAAGAGTTTTTTTTAAAACCGACGTTCTGCCGTAAAAACATGTTCTTCAAACTTGCTTGCGAACAGTGGCAGACCTACGTTTCAACGTTTGTATCAGTGTGGGCGAGTGCACCCCGTCATTTCGGAAAGAAAAAAAACGGTAGGTATGATAAAATTTATATTTTTCCCTCTTATTTTTTTATTTTTGGTAAATTGGAACTCGCCTAAGCTAAACTAGTCTATATTTAAACCCACCAAGTGGCTTCAACTATCTGTATAATTTTGAATCCACTGAACTTAGTTTTGTATTTAAACTTACTAAAAGATGGCCCATACCTATCTATCTTTGTTTGTCAGTGCCCAAGTTTTTTTATTGAAAGCACAATTATTTTGTCCCGGATTTCTTACAGAGGCTACTCCTTTGGTTCGTGCAGTTACACGTAATAACTTCAGGAACAATGAAATAACACGTTAAATTATGTGATACATTTTTTTCAACGCATTTTTATTATTAAATAAATTTCATTTGTTTCATTGAAAAGAAAATATGATTCATTAATTTTAGTTGGATGTGTTTTATTTAAAAACAAATTGGTTCCTACACTTGAAATTATTTTATACTTTATTTCATATTTGTAAAAAAACAATTTTATTCCTTACAAAAAAAACTTTTCTAAAACTGTGCTTGAAATTCAATAAGATTATAACAATATTAACTTTAATTCATACGCTTGAAATTATTTTTTATTTTAGTCTTTACAAGAAGAAATGCATTTCGTGTAGTCTTTACCTAAAAAAGTTTATACATTCCAGTCCCACACTTAAAACATTGTTTTTATTTTTATTTCTGTATTGAAAAAATCTATTGTAGAAGTCAATTTGTAACTGTTTTTATAGGGTCAAAGTATTCTTTTACGGAAAAACTAAAGAGAAAAATGTTTAAGGATAAGGGATTTATTTATTTAGTTAAAGTAAACCCAAATGTTTTGATGGGAATCATTTTCAATACATATCTTCAAAAAACATTATTTATTATTAACTTCTTTTAACACGTAAAACACAAGTATATTATCAATTAAAATATGAAATAATTATTATTCAAAATAAATAAATATTTCCTTCAAATAAATAAATAAATAAAATATTTAAATAACAATTATATTTAAATATATATATTAATTTGAAAAGGCTTTGATAGTAAGTATTTGCATTAAATTGAGAAGTGAGAGAGGGATATAATGCAAATGGCAATGGCAGTGCATGGCAGAGTGCAGACACATAGATGATAGATCTAACGACTACCACACTCTCTCTTTCTCAGTTCTCAGTTCTCACACACCCTAAGAGATGGGAGCCGAAAGCTTTTCCCATCACCGCCCCTTCGTTCTCGGCCTCCAGCCATCCGCCCTCGTCGACACCGTCGCCACCGTCGATTGGTCCTTGCTCCACCAGATTCCCGGCGAACGCGGTGGCTCCATCCCTGTCCGTTTTCTCTCTCTTTCAATTACGCCTTTCCTTTCTCTTCCCTTAATCACTAATTATAATGCGCTTAACTCAATTCCCTCTTCATATAGGTTGCCATTGAAGAACTCGAATACATACTCAAGGAGCTTAAATCCAATTCTTCCATCCTTGTGTATGCAGCCGCGTTAAATCTTGGGGCTAGCTATCCCACCTTTTGAGGTGTCTCCAACGTAGTGAGGAGATTAGTCACTGCTATCGACGGTGGATACTTCAGGAACGAACCAAAAAAAAAAATACTGCTGGTAGGAATTTGCAGTGATATTGTGCAATGAGGAAATTTAATCAAGTAACTAATAAGTTAGCCAGTTTTAAAATGTCTTTTAGTGAGAATTTGAGAATTTTTAATGTTGTTTTGTCTTTTCCTGTATTAATTGCTAATATTGATGTAATTTCTATTTGATACCCTCATGATTTTAATTGATAGGCTGATTTACCTCTTCAATTCACAAAAAGAGTTATTATTATCTATTTGAGTATTCTTTATAACGTTGAAAAACTTGATGAAAAATTACGATTTATAGCTACATCCCAAAAACTAAATTAAAACTCACTCATGATGAAAATAACCTCTAATCATAAAAAAAACAAAATCAACTCCAACATTCTTTGTTTCTTTTTTATCTTTACTTAAAAAAGTTCCATATTGCATAACACAATTTCATACATCCCCTCCTTCTTGTATATAAGGAGGAAACCCAAAGCTAAAAAAAGAAAAAAAAAATACAAATAATATGGTCCTAGTAAAAAAATGTTGAACTTCTAATAATTTTTTCTCTTTGAGGCCCGGTGAAAATATTGGGCCTAGATAGCGCCTACAAACTATAATCATAATTTTTTTACCACGAGGAACCTTTACAACAAACTATTGTTTGGAGGTGAGTTTGTTCATCTGTTCATTTCTTTGTTTTATTATTGTTATTGTTACTCTTTTGCATCATTTAAAAAAAAAGGATTATTTTTATATCTTTATTAATTTTGCATATTCACATGTAACTGTCTTATGAAAAATGTTGAAGAATGCTACTAACTTATGTACTTGATGAACTCTCGAACCTTAATTTCTTTTAAAAAGATTTTTTTTAATATTTTTCTTAATAAAGCTTGATAATAACTTCTACATGTATTTTCTTAATAAACCTTGTGGTAGGTAACAACTTCCATGTGTATTTATTATGTATGAAAAGTTAATTGATATATATATTTTTATATAATTAATTATTATTAAATGTATTTTTTTTATTTAATACTAGTTATTTTATTAATAATTATAGGAGTTAATTAAAAAATATAATAGGAGGATACAACTTATTCAAGAAAAAAGATGATACCCTTAACAACATATGTAATTATTAGTTAAACAAAGATGTAAGGTAGTTTTTTTATATTTATTTTTATTTAGCTACACTAGTATTCCTGTGTTGTCTTTCTTGTTAAGCAAGTGTGATTTTGTATTTATGGGTTATAAGTATATTTTTACCTAGTTTAGCCTTTTGAGGTGTCTCCAACGTAGTGAGGAGATTAGTCACTGCTATCGACGGTGGATACTTCAGGAACGAACCAAAAAAAAAAATACTGCTGGTAGGAATTTGCAGTGATATTGTGCAATGAGAAGGACACACTGCACAGGTTTGCTATTTCCACAATTGTACTCTATTTCAAACAATGCATCAATTTTGTAACGTATGTTTTGGGTAACAAACTCTAATGTGTTTCTTCGCTATCACGGGGTGTTTGTGTACCATTTTTCAAACAATTAAGATACACAGTGTAATGTATGTATTTCTTGAGTGATGCTAATAACCAGTTTTCTTAATGCACTAGTTAAGGAAGCACAAGTAAAATGTTTTTATAGAAAAATATTTTCCCGTGTAACTTTATTATAATTTTTAATAAAAACTTTCTACATATCGATTCTTTAACTAATAACTTTAGCTCGATGGTTAGCAAGACTCCTTATATTTCAAACAAGGAGATTGGTCTAGGGATAATGAAGACAGGAGTAAGGGAGAATTTGACTAATACTCGTGGGGTGTGTATAATTTTTTTTTATTTGGATTTATAAGAAAGGTTATAATGACTGCAACCTAACCTAAGACCTTGTGCATGGTGTCTCTACTCCACCATTAGGTTATGAGTGTAATTTACTTTATCATATAACATATAGCATGTGAAATATGTTGATGACTTTGCTGTGTTCTAGTGTGTTTGCTTGGTTGATGACATGGGTAACCGTACAATGCGACCGTGTCTCTCAAATGCTGTCAAAGTTCAGGTACTTAAAACTCACTTTATGGATTCTTGGAGGCTAGGTTAGGATGTCCCTTTGGAAGTTTGTTTGCATGATATATCTTCTCCTTTTTATTTTTTGGCAGGCACAAGAATTGACGAACGCGGATTTCAAGGGATCCAAGGTTGACTTCTTGTTTAATTAAAATATTGTCGTTTCGTCATGTTTTTTGTTTGTTTGTTTATTATCCTGTTCTATGAATTTTTTGTTTTTTTTTTTTCTAATTATCATGCGATGACTGGGATTTAATTCATTAGATTTTAGAGATTGAATTGCTTTTTTTTTTTGTGTATTCCATTTCCACCATGATGCATCATGTAAAGAAAATAAAGGCCTTGTATCCGGTTTCTGACAACACGCTAAAAGCTTGCTCTTCTGTCCATCCTTCTAGGTCTATCATAATATATTACCTAAAGATTCTCTGTGAATTTAGTTGCTGATATATTTACGTTTCAGTGGTTGGTGTTGAGATATGCAGTACTCAACTTGGAAGTTATTCAAGCAGCAATTCACTTAGCCAAACAGGAAGGCCTCCTTGTTTCGTTGGATTTGGCCAGTTTTGAGGTATTTTAATTTATGCCGCTACTCACCACATGCACACAGAGGCTTGATGAAAGGAAAATTCAAACACTACTGTAATAACTTTTTCCAGTTTGAGCTTGGGAAGTGTGATTAGAGTTTTCATTTCCAACATTTTAATGTGACAAGGATTGTTTTGGTAAAACTGAATTCTGACAAGTGCTGCTAAATCAATATAATAATTAGTAGGTTTGTCCACAAATAATTACTCAAAATGTTTGATTTCTTCTTGTCATTTGCCACATGCTAGACATCATATTCTTTTCTACAAAATCTCAAATATGAATGTATGGAAGTACACAAGATGCCTACCAATATATATACGAATATGGAAGTTTCATTTTTAAGAAGTCATTTGCACAATTTATTTTATGTAAGTATTGTATTTCTCATTCATGATCTCTTGATTTTGGCAAGATGGTCAGGAACTTTAAAGTACCGCTTCTAAATCTGCTGGAATCAGGGAATATAGACCTTTGCTTTGCCAATGAGGATGAGGCAGCTGAACTTTTAAGGTGACTGTCATTTGGATTTGACCCAACTTTATATCAGTGTCTTTTATTGAAAATATAAATTATCTTCATTTTCCCAGATATTGACTAAATTATTTTCATTTAATACACATTAGTATTCTGTTTTGTAAATAAGTGATATACCATGGATTTTAGGGACGAACAGAATGCTGATCCTATAGCTGCTGTAGAATTTCTTTCCAAATACTGCCAATGGGCCGTGGTAACATTGGGCCATAATGGGTGCATTGCTAAACATGGAAAGGAGGTGTGTTAATTTATTTTTCCTCTCTGATATGTTCTGTTAAGCTCCTTTCCCAATTTTCTCTGTTTTTCTTTCTTCTGGAGACCGCTGCAGTTGGCTCCGTTGTGAATAGTATTGACCGCAAGATACCATAATTAACTAGACATTGTGTGTAGTTTATTTCATCTTGCAGCAATTTGTTACGAAGCAGTTGCCTTTTAATTAGGGGTGGCAAAGAATCCAATCAACTCAAAAATAGTTTGAAACTCAATTCCATAGTTAACTTGTTGAACTTGGTTCATAAACCAAATGAGTTAAACTTGAATTAAAAATTGAGTTTAATAAATAAATGAGCCAAAGTTCATCTGGTTGATAAATCAGTTCAACATATAAATATGTAATTTATATTAACTTTCTATTTAATTTCATTTTATTACAATTTGAAAAAACCTTTAAAACTTAGTTTTAAGTTAGAATTTCATGATTATGGATTGAGTTTTCTATTATTTTATGCAAGGTGAAATAGTTTTATTTATACAAAATTTTGTTGTAATTATGTTTCTTTGAAGTCATATCTTGTAATCTTGCAAAATTAATAAAATAAGTAATTTTTTCATTAAAAAAATTAAACAATCATTTTATCTTAAATCTATTATTAAATTAAAATTTTAAAATATAGTTATATCTATATATAAAAGCAATTCCTTGTTTTTGTGTAGGCAATTTTTGAACTGGTTTACCCTTAAATTTTTATATAATAAAAAATAATATTGAAAATTAACTATTCTCACAAACTCAGGACTCAAATCTAAGATTTTTGAAATTCGAGAATTAGACACAATATCAATTAATTCAAAAAACATTAATAATTTATAAATACCTTTAAATAAATATAAAGACATATAGTGTCTTGACTCCACTAGTAAAATTTATAAAAATAAATTGATTTTTTAGTTCATGTGATTAGAGCTAATAAGTTGAAACCAGCTCTTATCGAATTTGAATTAAGTCAAGTTAGGTGAGTCAAATATTATTGAGTTGAACTTTGACTGATTTTTGCCCTACTCACAATACAAATAGAAAGTTTTTCAAATTGGTAAAGCTTTGCTGTTGATCTTAAATGGTTTTTTCCCAGATGCTGGTATAACCGTATAATAAGCTCCAAAATTGCATTTTGCTCATCCAACCAACGTGAATATGTTGAACTTTTATTAAGGAAAGAGGGTGGGAGGTAAAAGGGTGTACCCAGAGGCATTGCCATTCTGTATTCTCTGATCTTTAATTGAACCTTCCTCACCCGTGTCAACAATGGTTTACAAACAGTAGGAAGCATGGGACTAGTTTTAAGCAGGAACTGTTTGCTGTTGACATGATGAGTGTTGTTTAAGCACATTGTGGTTCAAGATCATTAGGGAAAAGTTCAGTAGTTTTTACTTTCTTGTTGTTTGGTCCTGGTGTCAGCTAGGACCTTGGGTTCTAGCATAGATGCTGAAAATTTGAAGCCGCTAATAACTACATAAACTAATACATGCCAGATGATACGTGTCCCGGCCATTGGGGAAGCAAAGGCAACTGATGCTACAGGAGCAGGGGACCTTTTTGCAAGTGGATTTTTATATGGAGTGGTCAAGGGTTTGTCACTAGAAGAATGCTGCAACATAGGTTCATGCAGTGGGGGATCTGTTATCCGGTCTCTTGGGGGCGAGGTAACATCGGAGAATTGGCAATGGATGTACAAGCAGATGCAGATAAAGGGTCTTCCCACACCTGTAGAAGATGTATGCAATTGAGTAGTGGGAACTTTTGCCTCATTTATTCGTACTATATATTACTTATTTTTCCTTTTGTCTTTTTTTCTTTTCTATTGTCTTTTATTATTCATCTCTTGCTGTCACTTCAAATGACAGCCACTATATAATTTATGACTAGTTGAGTAAATCATAGAAAGCTATATATTTTTAACACTGTTTGGGAAGAGGGAAGCTAATGAAAAAGGAAAAGAAGCGTGAAAAAGTGAAAGGAAATTTAAAAATAAAGTGTGTTTATTACGAGAGAAGAGAAGAAAATTTGGTATATTTTGATGTGAGTTCCACCATTAAAAAAGTTCTTTAATACGAGGGAAAGTGCAGGAAAGTCCTGCTTTGGTCATGCATTATATATTTTTATGTGATGTGAGTTCCACCATTATAAAAATTATATATTTTTAAAAATAATAATATAATAATAGTTATTTATTTTTAAAAATAAGATTATCAATAAAAAATTAAATTTTACTCTATTTTCTTTCCATTTTTTCTTTATCAAATAATTTATATTTTCACTTTTTTTCTCTATATTTTTTTCTTTCCTTTGCTCTTCTTTTCTTTTCACTTCTTTTTTATTTTTATAAAAAATAAGCTAAGGGAAACTCAAGCTGGTTCGAGTCTTCATTGTACTTGAGCTTTGGGGAAAGTATAAACTGTCTCTCCTGTTTAATATTAACACATAAGTTTTCAAGAGTATTAGTTTACTAGAACAATCAGTTGTTGTTAACCTGGTGGAGATAATTGTTAGTTTTAATTAGCTCTCTATATATAGGATATTTATATAATTTGATTGTATCTTTTATTAATCAATTACAAAATGTATTTCTATGATACTCTTCTATATTTTGAGTTTTATAATGTATGGTCACATTATTTCAACCGTCTTTTTAACTGATGTAAGTCATGGTTACCGAACTTTCCGACTTCATATTTCAACCGTCTTTTTTACTGATGTCATGCATATGTAAGGCTGCTGCCATTGTTGTTATAATACATTTATGAGAGGTTAACTGAAAAGAGCGAACTACCTGACTGGAAAAATATGAGTCTAATTCGATTTTATTTGCTTGCTAATTGTTACTACGCCAAAAACCATGTTCAGTGCTCGTCTGCTCATGTTAAGGGTTAGCGTGACTACGTCAATTTTATAATGGACAGGCTTTTTATTTGAGAGAAACGCTACTAACATAATCCTCAACATACGTTTTCCCACATGTATTCTTATTAACTGAAATCTGTTGAAAAATAAAAATAACCCGTAAATTTCATTCCATGTTTAATGAATTTTACAGGATTTTATAATTTTCAATAACATTAAAAAGTGTGTTGAAAAAAGTGTATAAAAAATGCGTTACTATCACTCCTAATTTACTTCTCAAGAAATTTTTTCTTCTTGCACACGACCAGAAAGGAATTGAAACTTTGACGGCATGCTTAAGTGCATTTTTTTTTCTTTAGAGGAACTAAATCTCATGAAAGAATGAAAGACGTTGTGATAGAGCATGAGAAAAAGAAAAGTCGATACGCCAATTTTATACGATTTAGCTGTTTTGAACTGCTAGTATTACCATCTCAACTCAACTCAAAATTCCAATTTAATAGACTAAACTGAAAGCCCAAAAGATATTGCTAGCTGAAGGCCTAAAACCAACTAATGCGCGAGTGTAGCTAGCTAGTTATGCTCAACCTCAGAATGAGATGATCTACTTGCCAAGTACATGAAGCATTATGGCATTCTGTGCATGCATTCGATTCTCAGCTTGCGGAAAGACTATTGAATTTGGAGCTTCAATGACTTCGTCAGTCACCTCCACCCCTCTTTCCGCTGGTAAGCAATGCATGAAAAATGCCTTTGAACCAGCCATATCCATCAGATTTTGGTTTACCTGCAAAACGCAATTGCAATTTCGTGTAAACATTAATAAAACAATTCAATCATCTTCACAAACCAATGCCACAAAACGGAACCTATCATCATTCCAACACAACATAATCGTTAAGTCAAATAACAAACTTTTTCAATTGAACCTATGATTTATGCAATAAACAACCCACCTGTACCATTTGAGTAGGTGGCTGCTAGAAAATAATGTCACAACTTACAAATTTAACAAAATGTGATCTTTTAACCTAAAAGCATGATCTTTTGTGACAAAAATTATGTAAATGTAAAGTACCTGAAATCCTTGAAACACTTGGCGACGGTATTCAGCTTCTTCCTTTTGCCCCATGCTCGCCCAGACGTCTGAATACACAACATCAGCTCCTTTAACAGCTTCCTTGGGATCATTAGATATCTCAATCTTGCTGATTCCAGCTTGCCTTGCCTTCTCAACTGTTTTTGCATCAGGTTCAAATCCTTTTGGACATGCACAAACGAAGTGAAACGGAATTACAGATGCCATCAACAACCAAGAGTGAACAATATTATTTCCATCTCCAACGTAGACAACCTGACATGTGTATTGCAAAATACGATCAGACAACTATTCCCTTGCCAAGGCCACCAAGAATTAGAAAGAAGCAAACTCTTCAAAACAAGCAACATAACCTGACCTTGGTACCTTCAAACCGACCAATGTGCTCAATCATAGTGAGGGCATCTGCCATTATCTGGCAGGGATGGTTGTAATCTGTCAACCCATTGATGACTGGAACAGTTGAATACTTTGCAAGATCAAGTATGTCCTACAATTTTTTTTTACAAAAAAAAGAAAGAAAAAAAAAAAGGAAAACCAAAAGTGTTTGTTTTCCTGTCAGAATGATTGATCACATACTGGAGCAGATAAAAATTTCTCCCAACCCAATGAGATGACAATGCCCACAATTGGAAAGCAAATTCTTTTATCGTGATAATAAGCTCGTTAAAATTGTAAGAGACATGAGAATCAGTTCACAGCTGAGGGGCTACTAATAATAATAATAATAAAATACTCCTGTAAGATACTGTTAATTCATCTCAAGGTCTCATGTTAGCATTACATTACAAGTAATCCAACATTATACACTACCCATGACACAGGTCAGAAATAACATAGGCGAATATCATTCTCCAGTAAGCACCAAATAAGTATCATAGCAGCATATTGACTTATTTTGTGTTTCAAGTTATGAACCAGTAGCAACATCTATTATGAAATTGTTGTGAACAAGCAATGGCAATTGGCAAGTGAGGAGCATACCTGATGAGCAAAAACGCGAGCCATAATGATGTCATTATAACGAGACAAAACACGAGCAATATCGCGAGTCTCCTCTCGCTTGCCCATTTGGATGTCATCAGGTCCTAAATATGTAGCATGGCCACCTAGCAATGTAAAGCCAGTCTCAAACGAAACCCTCGTTCTCATGGAGGGCTTTGTGAATATCATCGCCATGGTCTTCCCTTCAAAAGGCCGAAATGTCCTGTCCCCTGACTTTAGCAACGCCTTCACCTCAATGGCCCGATCCAACATCTTCAAAAGACTGTCCTTATCAAAATCATCTAAGTGCACAAAATCTTTCACCCCAACTTTCGCTGCAAAAACAAGAGAACAGAGGTTGAAAATCAACAATGCTTCTCAATTAGTACATTAACGGAATACAAACATCAATCATCCTTAAACCCTAATCGGATGCAATTAGAATCTGAAATGAGAATTAGACGATGTGGAAGTTGAGGAGCTAAGATAGAGGGGGAATGCGAAAGTGTTGAGAATCGGAAATGGAAAAGGGAAGAGTAGAGTATGCTTACGAGTGACGGCGGAGGAGGCGACGCACGACACTCTGCGTGGAAAGGAAACGGAGACGGCGGGGAAAGGAGCGCGACGGCGGAGAGCGTGAGCGGAGAGGTAGGGTTTGTCTGAGCCAACGCTCCGATAACAGTGACAGGAGATGGCAGCCATTTTCTGCTTCACTTCAAATACACTCTCTACTTTCTACTTCACTCTTCTATTTCCTCCTTTATATTTCTTTTTTCTTTATTTTCGATTACTTTATTTTTCTTTCTCTATTCCTTTCATCTATCAACTCAAAAATTCTCTAATCATCATAATTTGTATGTTATTTTTTATTAAAATTGTATATCAAAAAAAGTAATATATTTATAACTTTTTTTATTTGTATGTAAAAACTTTAAACTGCAGTGATTATCAGAGTGATGTGTTGTTATATTCCAAAATTGAATTTTATTTTTAATAAATATTCGTTTATTTAACTAAGTCAATTTTAATTGGAGGTTAATTTATCTAATCGTGAAAACGAAATAGATTATATTGAAAAAATATATTTCATTTTATATGCTAAAAATTAGTTACTATTTTTAATAATAGATACATCATATTAGTACCATTGTTATAATAGAAAAGTGGAGGTTAATTTAAAAATTTTAATTTTAATTATTAATTAAATAATTTGTCGAAATGTTTACTATAATAATTTGGCAGCACACATTTGACCCAACCTGTGTAGCAGGCCGTCTCAAATGGGCTGGCCCTACTCAAATTAACATCCTTAACTTTGGGTTTGAAATAATATTACCCAATTTGCAACTGCAAGCTTGAACTTGGGCTTAGAATAATGAGAGAATAGTTATTGGGCTCGTCATATATAGATTTTTTTTTTAATAAGTACATCTTCTTTTTTTTTTTTTTTAAATCTAAAATATTTTTAATCTTTTTTTATTCTTTAATTTGTTTAATTTTACACCCTTTTAATTTAACATTTTCTCCTTTTTTATACATAAGGTAGTCGATGATAAATTCATACTCAAGTTATTCTATTTTGACAGAAACATTAGACTTTCTAGTTTAAGTGACAACATTCGATAAATCATATTATTAGGGTTTTGTATTCCAATTTGGTTGTTGACCTAACAAGTATAAAAAGGTCATGTTAATTTGGTAGAGTCAAATCATTTGAATTGTTCATTATGCTGTAGGAGGTTTTCATAGATGAATCGTGATGATACATTAGTTGAGGTGTATGCATATGATGTGATGTGATTTGATATTGTTCATATGCATGTTGATTGTATAGTTGAATGACATGGTTGCCAGTGTATGGATGAAATTGTTGTTTACCATTGAAGATGTTAGATGCCATGTTCAGGTATGATGTTGTGTTAATATGTTGTAGACTAGGGGAGCTTTATTGTTGGTATACATGTTGGTGTTGGTGAGTAGTATATAAGCTTTCCACTTTTATACTTATTGTATGATTATTGTTTTGAAATCTAGTTCATCCTTACATTTTTCTTGGTGATTGAACTGCATGATCATGTTTATTTGGGAGTAGGGTAGAGTTAGTTGAAGGTAGGTTGGAGCTTTTGTGAGGCCATTCAAGTGGATAGTTTGTTGTTGATTTTGTCAGGTTACTCTAATGTAACTAATATATAAATGTTACTTGATTGACAACCTATAAATTTTATTTCACAATTATGGATTACTATTCTTATATATACATATATATATATATATATATTTTTTTTTTTTCTAATAAATCTAAATTGATTACAAGGTC